TCCATTTACCCTTTTCCTAATCACAGTTTCTCTTTTCCTTTGAACAGTTTCTTTCCTATTCAAAATATCTACTGTGAATATTGGATCCTATTTATTTTTTTCATCCTGTCACACCACTGAGAGTACACAATTTTTACCCATATGAGTCTGATATAATTCACTCGTTTATGGTTTTGTATTTTACCATTTATCTATAAAAACCTCAAGTTTATCCTTCTCAATGGCTGACCAGTAATGCTTTATATACTAAAAAAAACATTTTTTCATGTATTTTGTGCAGGGTCTCACGATGCATCTCCCACTCACAGTGATCATGCTGTTTTTGTCCTTTCCAGCTCTGGGTTTACAAGTACATGGTACCAAGCCAGGATGGGATCGCTGGCTCATCGTGCCTGGGGACAGTGCCTGTGCTGCATGTGTTGTGCTCCTAGACTTGCCTAAGCAGGTGTTTGTTCCTCTGAGTGATCTCCCTGACCCTGACATGCTTTTTATCCATTCCTCGGTTGATGAGCATTTGTCTTTTTCTCAAGGTTTAATTATTACAAACTCTGTGTTTCTATAAACATGATTGGAGGTATCTAGCTGTTATAAACATTTAATGCTTCTAGAAAGGTACCAGAAAGTAAGTAGCAGGGTCTAGTGGGATTTATATTCCTAATTTATTGAAGTATCTCCCCAATAATTAGTACAATTGTTGCACCAGTCTACGCTCCCAACAACATCAGATAGTGTTCTGTTTTTCCCACAGCCACTTCACCATTTGTTATTGGTCTATTTCTTGATTATAGCTATACTTTCTGACTGAGATTAAAACTCAGAGTTGCTGGGAAGATGGCTCAGTGGCATAAGTGCCTGCCTGGCAAGAACAAGGACTTGAGTTTGATCCCTGGAACGAATATATATATATATATATATATTTCTGATTAACTCTCTCAAATAGCTAATGTTGTCGCAGATTTATTTTTACATATTTATTTGCCATTTGCATTTTTTTCATATGAGAAGTGGGTGTTCATCTCAGATGTCCAGTTTGAATTGAGTCTTTGAACAGGAATCCTGATTTTTTTCAAATATGTATATGTTTGTCTTGGTTATCATTTACTTGTTGGGGCAAAATACCTGACACCCAAACTTAACAAAGGAAAAGTTTATCCAGCTCATAATTAGTGAAATTTTCAGTACATACTTGGCTGGCTTAAAGCAGAGAACATCCATTCCTGGGGTTGGAAAGCAGTAAAGTGCGAAGGGAGGGGTAGCAGCTGAGGCTTCCAGTAAGCCACTCTCCTTTCCTTATATTACATGCAGTCTCCGCTGAAGTGGGGCTGTAGAACTCCCACCATGTGCATGCCCTCCTCTTGCACAGAATGAAGATGTCAATAAAGTAAGAACCCTGGATCTCTGCTGTGTCACTTTTTTAAACTTATAAAGTTCCCAAGTTTACACAATGAGTCAAACAGTGCAAGGTTCTGGATATAGTTTTTCTGCCTTTATGAAAAGAAGAGAAAATTTTCCCCATTCTCTGGGTTCTTTTAATCCCATTGGTGATTTATTTTGTCCTGAAAAAGGTTTTTATTAAGGTTGTGTTCCATTTGTTGATTTTTTTGCAGCATTTCTCCTTGGCTCTAGGTTTTGTTCATAAATTCTTTGCACATACCTATGTCTCTATGGTATCTATGTCATTACTTGAATTGAGGTAGCCTGCTTAATTATTTAATTTTGATAAGAGGGATTAGGATAAAATTTAATTAAGGTGAAGTACACATATGTACAAATTCCCTTTGGTGAATATAATTATTTACTAAAAATGTACTAATAAAAATATAAAATACAATAAACGTAATAAATGAGAATAGTAAGATTGCACTATGCTGAGTTCAGGAGCCTATTTTTCAACTAACATGAAGAAAAATGATTTTCAGAAAACACTTCATACAGTCTACACTTTCTGCATTTGGCCGTGTGGTTTTTTTCTCCTGTAGCTAAATTCTTCTGTTAGCTTTTCTCAAGGCTATCTCCACATCATGAAAGATTTGTTTGAAATAATGTACTGATTGTGGATGTGAATTCATATTTTTGAATTGCTTGATCTATCTGCAAAGTAAAAAATTGGAATTACTTTATTATAAAACACTCCTAGAATATTG